CCTGCTGTATTTCAAAGAGAAATTAATGGTCCCTGACTGCATTAAAATACACAGGAAAGTCAAAGATTGAAAGAAAGGTTACCTGTCAGCAAGTGTTTCTTCTGAACTTTCAGAAAGTGCTTTTTAATGCTCTTGGTTTGGGGGCACGTCTTCCTGTCAGTAACATCAGGTTTTTTTCAGTTCTTTCCAAGAAAAGCAGATTGGACCCCTAGCATGTAGTTATTAAATTCTTGAATTTCTTTCTTCTTATAGGTGCTCTTCGCTTTATGAGGAGGATAATTGGCCTAAAAGATGAATTTTATAACCGTTATATCACCAAGGGAAACCTGTTTGAACCAGTTATAAATGCTCTGTTGGATAATGGAACTAGGTACAACCTGCTCAACTCTGCTGTGATTGAGCTGTTTGAATTCATCAGAGTGGTAAGTTACGCAGCTTCTTCAGCTCTTACACCTATGTGGCACCTCAGGTAGAAGTACAGAATGCCAGTCTTTCATGTGAAATAGTGTGTCACTACTTAAAATCACAAACTAAAAACTCCATAGATAAATATCGAAATAGAAAGGAGCCAGGAAGCTGCCTCATGGTTGTTTTACTTGCCCATCCCTTCAGAGAGAGTGCGTAGGCCCGTTTACATACAAATCTGTGTAACAGAGAATGTCCTGCAGATGGAAATTGTTTGAAGTGGTTGGCAGTGTTTCTGGACGAGTTTCTGAACTAAACTTTGAAGTGAGGAATTAAGTGAATACTAATTTGGGTTATTATTGTGTCTAAATGAGACTAATTTGACTATAAATTTGAATGATCGTTGTTCTTTAAAATCCTGCGTGTGTGCTTTCTTAGACAGGGTCAGCTTTGAATCAGTAGCTTTTCCACCGGCAGCATTTGCGGGGACAATGTGTATGTGGACGGGACAGACAGGACAAGCAGGAGCACCCAGTTTGTTGTGTTGCTGGGGTGGAAGACAAGGACTTGCAACAGCTCCTGAGCTCCTCCTTGCTGTCAATGCCTTGATGTGTGGGAGTCTTCTCAGGGAATCTTTGTGGTCTGCAGAAACGAAGGGCAGTTTTTAGTCGTAGGATATCATAGCTACTGTCTTTTCCAGCAAGGAGAACATGCACTGTGTCTCCAGGTGACTTTTGCCAGTGTGTTATGAAATTTTAAGATTTGCCTGATACAGCGAGACTTGTTGGGGGAGTGACCAAAAGGTGCCTCATCCATGTGTGCTGCTGTAGTTACTGAGGGCTAGAGAAGGAGCTAAAACCTGTGGGGACAGCAGGGCACAGTTAAACTGTTTCTCTCAAGAAGCCCAAGCATGGTTTAATCAAACTATCACAAATAGGATTGGGGCAGTACTGAGGATATTGCCCATTTATATGGGAATTTTAATAATTGCTTCTAGATTTCAGCTTTTTTATTAAAGAAAAATTGATGACTTCACATTTTTTCTTTACAGTAGTGTTTTGACTCTGGACAATGGATCAGTTACTTTTAAAACTAAACTAAAGCTTTCTGAACTTCTGCGTGTTAATAGTTGAGACTGAAATACTGTTTTGTTCTTATGCAGGAAGATATTAAGTCCCTTATTGCACATATAGTTGAAAACTTTTATAATGCACTTGAATCTATTGAATATGTTCAGACATTCAAGGGATTGAAGACAAAATATGAGCAAGAAAAAGACCGACAAAACCAGAAACTGAACAGGTACGACCCAGTTCATGTATTCTGAGACTTTTGCTGAATGCCATTATGTCTCTTCTTACTGCTGGTTGGCTTCTTTCTTTCCTAGACAGCAGAAAAATCAGAAAGCTGGGATTGGGGTTGGTTTTCATTCTTGGTGAAAACTTCCTCCATTAGAGTAAACCCCCCATATGATTCTCCTTGTGGGCTACTGTAGTATGGTTCACATTTGTCAGTGTATTAAATGTTACGTTCAGAAAACTCCCAGCTTACAAAGAGCAGAATCTTCTTCGGTCGTTCAGAGTTGCAATTCAGTCTGGTTTAGTGTCAGCTGGGGTTTTGGTGAAGCTTACGTTGATGGTAGACCCAGGGACGGCGCTGGGCTGCCTTCTCAAACACACTGAATTCACCTTAAAGCCTCAGACACCGTTTCTGATCCCTGGCCAAGTCTGAAACAGGCAGGCAAAACTTGAATCACTTGTCATGTGTCTCTTACAGTGTTCCATCTATATTGCGTAGCAATAGATTTCGCAGAGATGCAAGAGCCTTAGAGGAGGATGAAGAAATGTGGTTCAATGAAGATGAAGAGGAAGAAGGTGAAGCTGTTGTGCCTCCAGTTGAGAAGTCAAAACAGGAGGATGATTTTCCAGATAGCTATGAAAAATTTATGGAAACTAAAAAAGGTATTTACTGAATTTCAGCTTGTCAGCACTGGAAGTGCTCTGTAACAGATGTGTGGAGTGTCATGTAAACAGAGCAGTTGCTTGTGCTCTCTATCACAAGCAGGAGTAAGGGTATTCCATGTAATTAAGTAATTAATTATCAACATGTCTTTGCAAATTTAGGATTAAAATAATGAGTTAAATTGCTCCAAGCATGCATCTAGTTTAAATGACACTGAAGAGCAAAATTTTACATGTGCTTGTGCATGCTGAGTGAGCAACGTCCCTGTGTCCGCAGCATCTGTGCCGTTCTCTGTGTGAATGCTGGCGTGCTTTGGGCGAGGTCAGTGGGTGAGCTGCTGATTTAAACTGAACTAAAACCAAAAAATCACAGGCAGGTTTTACCTGTGATCATGCTGTGATGTGGATTGTGCTTCATGGTGTACAGCTGATACTGAAGTATGAAAATGTTTGTTCCTCAGCTAAGGAGAGTGAAGACAAAGAAAATCTTCCAAAAAGGACTTCAGCTGGGGGATTCAAATTCACTTTTTCCCACTCAGCCAGCGCAGCCAATGGTGCAAACGGTGCAAACAGTAAATCCGTGGCAGCTCAGACGTCACCAGCAAGCTCCAACGGCTCCTCATCAAAGAACGCAACCCTGACCACGGCAGTGACAGCCACCAAGGTGGGAGACCTTGTACAGAAGCTGCTGTCCCCGCTCGGGACAGCGGAGCATCCTAGTGAAACTTTACCGCTTGCAATGTGGTACGGTTAGCATTGGGCTCGGGGCAGGGTATTGTATTTACGTATAAATTAATGCAAAGCCCTGTCTAGTTATATCCCTACTAGCTTTGGGGAAGGTTCAAGAAAGTATTAGGTGAGTCTGGAGTTGGTTGGTAGATTACCAACCAACTGGTGGGCACAGTTTAATCTCACATCTTCTGCCTAATTTAACTGCTCCCACTACTCAGCTTTACCTGTCCAGTTGCTGTGTGTGTGTTGTGTGTGATATACACAAGAGGTTGGTTTTTCTGAATTAGTTAGTGCCCTCCCTCCCTCCCTCCCCCCCGTTGGGGAATTAATAAGTGTGTTTAAGCAGATGAAATAAAGTCAGTGATCTCTCCATCATGTCTTACACACTTGTGTTATTTTAATCTGCGAGCTCTGGAGAGGCTACGCAAAAGTGTGTGTGGCAGAAATTTTATGGCACACACCTAAGACTTACCAGCAAAACGGATGTGCAGTGTGCACGTTAGATTTTATGACTGTCCAGTTGAGAGCTTAAAAAGTGATTTTTTAAAAATAATTCTGAGGCCAAATTGAGAAGTTCCAGTTTTGAGGTTCAAAAACATTCTCAAGATAAATGGATCTTCGCATGAAAAAGGCACCACCAAGAAACCTTCTGCAGGCTTGTGTGTCTCAGACAGGCTGGCTGGGGGTTATGTACTAAAATTGCACATTCCTGGGTATTTTTTTCAATGTGAGATTTTTTTATTTTTTTTTAATTGGCAGGGAAGTTTAGTTGGCCTAGTGGATTATCCTGATGATGAAGATGATGATGAAGAGGAGGAGACATCTCCAAGGAAAAGACCTCGTCTGGGTTCATAAATGAAACCAAAACTTTGGAATAAAAACTTTTATTATGGGGTTTCAAATGCTGCAACTGTTTTAAGAGCTAAAAAGAATCTGATTCAGAAAGCTTTCTCCCATGAGTATATAAGATAATACAAGGAGTAGCAAAAGAAACTCAGTGTACCAGCTAGAAAGGGTTAGTTCTGTAAACACAAAGCTTCCAAGGAACTTAATATCTTTCTAGTAAGTAAGGAGTCTGCCATTCAGGCTGTCAAAAAAATTAAAAATAAAAAAAAAAGTGGGTTAGTATTCACAGAACCTGGATGATGGCTTCTCAGCAAGGAAAGTCTCAGGTGTCGGGAGGGCAGGGGGAGGGAAAGGTATGATGAACACTTTTTAAAAAATATTGCAGGGTTTCCCCAGTGTTTAACAGAACTAGTTAAAAAAAAAAAAAAATTCAAGCTTAAATTTTGAACCCAGTAATCTTAATTTTGTAATGGTGCTGTCAGTTGTGTTCTTTTAGCAATGCCTCTTTAAAAAAAAAAAAAAAATTAAGGGAAAACTTAACTCTCTTTGCATAAGAACAATCCAGATTTTTGGGACCATTTATTACCAATTAAATCGCATTTCTCATGGTTGGCGGGAGGGACACTGCAATTATAGTGCATGTTGAATTGTTTAAAACAGTAAAAAAAAAAAAAAAAGTTTTAATTTGTATTTTCCAAGAGGAGAAAATGGAAGCTGGATTCAAAATGGCTGGTTTTGCTTGTTTTTTGATTAGACATCCAGTAATAGCTATGCCAAGGAACGATCGCTTCCACAATATCTCCAGGAGCTGCTTGTGTCACAGTGGCGCTGTAGGCGGCACACCCCAGTAGCTGTGGCTTGTGGAAGATGTGGAATTGGAGTCGCTTGGTGTTGTTAAAGGAGCTGCCTCTGTTTGGAGCAGCGAGCCACTTTCCTTTGGAGTTGAAATTGCGTCATTGAGGTGGTAACAAGAAACACTAACAGGTTTTTTTCATAGCGATGAATTTAGCGGCATTTTAACACCAAAGTCACTTTGGACCAAGACGGAATTATTACTAACAGAACACCGGTCTCTGAGGCAGAATCAACAAGCAGCACCTGTGTCTGTCTGGGTGTCATATGAAAGCTGCTTTTTTTAAAAAATAAAAGCACATTCCAAGTAGTAGGTAAGCAAACGGCGACAAAAAGTAGATGAGTTGATGGTGAGTTGATAGAGGCAAACAGTCCAGGTTTTATTTTCAAGAGCAGCAAGTGAACTGTAAATATTTTAATGTTAGTTTGCCCATATGTGATCTGAGATCATGATGAAGTGAGAGGAAATTTCCCAACAACAATTAACGTTAAGATACAAAACCAGCTGCAATCCACCACACAGATCACTCTTGTAATATGTGTTTTGGGTCCATTTCTCCTGGAATAGTTTAAACCGAAGCAGTTTCTCTGTTTTGGAGATTTTTTGTAGTTAATTTTAATTTTAGCTATTGTTTGGAAAAAGATGGGCTGTCTGTGTAGATATGAAGTATAGTTTTTTCCATAAAACAGAAGTTTATTTTGTATTAAAAATACCACTGTACTTGTTTTACACCATTTGTATACATGTGGTGATATTAATGCTGAACTGTAAAATTCAGGAATTAAAATGTGACCCTGTAATTCCATAATTATTGCTTTTGTTTGGTTTGTTGTACATGGTAAGTTAACTCAGAATTTTAAATGTGGCCGTTTTAGAATATTTTTAAAGATTAGTTATCCATGCAGTTTTAAAAGTAACTCTATACCACTAGATGTAATCCCAGAGGGAACGTGCGAGTTCTTCCCGATGCGTAAACTAGACACAAGCATTCTGATGGATGACAGTTCATGTGTGTGGACCTGGGGACAATGGCGTCACCCTTCGCGGGCTCCAGGCAACCAAGAATGGGACTCCTCCTTTTTCACCCGTGTGATGGAACGCCCTGTCAGCTCCCAACGCAGAGGATCCGAGGAAGCGTTTGCTGGTAAAGCGTAGCTGCAGCGTCTTCGTCCTGTGCTCGCTCTCCTGCTGATGATGATCATCTGGTTTTCTTCCTGATGAGTCTTTTCTCTCCATTGGTAAAGATGATTAACTTCCTCGAGCAGCAGAGTTATGCAGTATGTGCCTTTACTAACTTGAGGCTGGAAAAATTGTGTCACCTGGTCTGTGGACCCAAGTTGTCCCAATTGTCTTTCAACAGCTACCCCAACCAGGGTCTCCAACTGAAGCGTCTTAGTTCTTCCTCTGTTCCCCACCATCCCAGCTCTTCCCTGAAGTATTGTCAGGAGCTTTACAAATACATTCAGACCAACATGAGGTTTTTTTACAGCAAAAACAAGAATGTCATGAATTTTTATAGTTATTAGAAAAACTGTAAAGTGGCATTAGATGTCCCATTTAAAAAACAAACAGAAAAACCCCCAAACTAAATCCCCTGTCGAAGGTGACACGCAGCACTCTTCTTAACTGGCTTTTGTCTGGGGCCGTCAGCCCCACAGCTGCTGTTCCCCAGTCTGACCTGGTCGGTGCTGCCCGTGGGCAGTGGTGTTCCCGTGCCTGGGGTCCTTCCACTACCGCTCTTTTGGAAAAGAACATCTGCCAACATGTATCAGTTATAAATGCTATTTTAATAAAAAGTTACATGAAACTTGAACTGGTTGGATTGTTTCTTTTAACGCGAGTCGCTGTTGCAGTCAGTGCTGCAATGATGTGCTGAAAGGATGCAGGACGCAGCCTCTCCCGCGTCATTTTACAGCTGTCAAAGCCAAACCACTAAACAAGATTTTAGAAGATTTCTACTTTGAAACGGAATTGCTCACAACATCCCTAGCTTTTACTTTGTAACTAAGCAATTGTTTTTACTTTTTAAGTTGCATTTATAGGAAAATTGGACCTATGGACTGGTAAACTGCCCCAAAAGTAGACTCCACAGTTAATATGTAAATATCTTGATTTGACGCTGTGTTATCTATTTCTCAAAAATAAGATGGTCAGAGTTGTGCTTCCTTGTGAAATTAGACTTTATTACAGTGTACAGCTGAAAAATAGTGATTTTTTAATAATATTCTAATTAAAGGAACAAAGCTCTATAATTTTAAAAATAAAAAAGTTAAAATTTTAACTCATTCTGAACAGTTCACATAGGAATTATTTTAACAGGTCTCAATATCTGCTTTTGTTCTATATTATACCAAGCATCTGAGGCCAGTGGCTTAGAAAAATCTGTATGCTGAAGTTAAATGGCCTCACAGTTGAGCACATTCCAGCGAAAGTCAATGAGTTTCCAGCATTCTGGAAAATAAGTGTTTTTAGTGTATTTCAGTGTAATTTTAAATATTTATATATCAAGTAGCCAGTTGCTTGTCTGAAAGTTCTATAAAACTAAGTGTAATATTGGAAAACAAACCCATTCAATTATTGATTACATAATTTATTCTAAAAACATACTTAACGCTCTTGGGGTCTGCAGTGAGCGTCTTAACATTACCGCTTATTAATAACTTCTTCTTTTAGTTTTTCTGCAAGCATTTTCCTCTTCTGTAGTAATCTTTGCTTCTCTTCTGACATTTCCTAAAAACAGAATGTAAAAAACATTGCAATAAGGTGCACGGCTTCCCCGGTTGGTACCCTGACTCCTAACGCTAACTGCCACCAAACGTAAGTAGCTGACACAATTTCTCTTAAGAAGCAGCCAAGTAACATCACTCCCAAACCGGCGGCTGCAGCAGCCGTCCTTCCAACTCACACACCCTCCAGAATGATTTAAAAAAATATTATTGTTCCATTTCTTGAGAAGTGGATCCCAAGAAGTGGACAACTGGCTCTTCTCATCCATCTGCCTTTTTTTCACTGCACTGTACCAGTCTTTGAGAGGACTAACCTCAGCTTGAACTGGTGCTGCTTATTTGTTCTGGAAGTTCCCCACGCAACAGTATTTTGGGCACATTCTGAGTGTAATAAAATGCTCAGGAGCTCTGAAAAATACCTGAGTCAATAGAAGGTCCTTGGTCTTCAGTAACGTACTCTGTAAGTAGTGACTTTTTTTTAACACCCCCCCCCCCCCCCCCCCAACTGTTATTACATTGTTTTGTGTGGGTTTTAAGGTCCTCTTGCAGTTTCAGCATTTGAGAGTTTTCAAGCATTTCTTTGCATATAGATGTAGATCAGCCCTATTTGTGGTAAATGAATTAAGTCATATTAACTGTAACAATAATTAACAAGAAAAGTTTGGTTTGTTGGTTTTTGGGGGTGTTTTTTGATAAAGACTTCTGTACTGGTAGAGCTTTATGCTGTCATAGGATTCTGTGGGGATTTTTTTTTATGGCTGTACTTTCTTTCCCCAATAGTTATTTACTTCTTTTTTCCCAAACTCGATTTTCTATCATCCCCATGGTGCAGGGATTATTGTGATTTTAGCACTTTTGTGAAGTGAAGGAATGTATCAGTTAATGCACTCAGTAACCATGCACGTCTCTGAATGAAGAGCAGCCTTTGGACAAAAAGCAACCTGAAAGAACGAGCTCAATGAACACTTACACCTCCCCCCACAGTGCACAGTCTCCTCCTGTCCTGTGCTGCCAACCCTCCCACACACTTGGGCTTTTCTACCAGAGGCAACCGGGTGTATGACAGCAGCATCCACCCTTCAGAGTGCCTTGTCTTTCTAAAATGTATCATCTTAGTGTCACTTCTATTCCAGGGGTTGATGGAAAGAAATCAAGGCTTTCTTCATTTGAATAGAGGACAAAAGAACAGAGCAAATTTCTTACCTCTGTAAAATAAGACTTTGTGAAATAAATGTTTTTCCCATTTCAGTTGGGGAAAAAAAAAAAATCCCAGAGATTTAAGGGAGCCCAAACAGTAGGTCACAGATCAGGAGAAAACCAGCATTTTAGCTGTTTCACAAATTTAAATTGGTCATAAGGATCTGATGAAACTGAAGCAGAATAAGGCTAACAATCACTAAAACTTCTGGCTTATAAGCTTCTGCAAAAACAGGAACTCGAAAATACTTCCTCTCTATTTCTCCCATTTGTTTTTTTTAACCCTGCTACAATATTCAGCAGCAACATTGACATCTTCACTGAAACCATCTGTGTTGTTTGTAAAGTGGTCAGGATTATGAAAGCGTTTGAATCCTTCACCTCTTTAGGAGATGGTTCCTCTTCTTTCTGGTCAGTGGTCGCTGGTAACAGTATATTATTTCTTGACTCTTTCTTTGTAGCCATCAGCATGTCTCGTTTTTTCTTTAGGTAGTCCTCTCGTTGCTTCAGCTGCTGTTTTTCAAGTTCTGATAAACTCTGGAATTTTTTAAAAATACGTTTGGAAATTAATTTTTGGTATCCACGTTACACGAGATAAAAGCACTTACGTTGTATTTACCTCCAAAATTACTAGCTGAAAAAATCAAAGTTGAAGTTTCAAGCTCTCTACTAAGAAGTTATCACAGGACAAAGGCTGAATTCAGTTCTAAAACTAGATTGATAATCTGAACTTTATGCAAATTAAACTGATGAATACCATAAAACAGTGTTTGCATGCTGGTTTAAAAAACAAACAAAAAACAACCCCAAACCAAAAAAGCCCCCACACCACCACACACCAAAACCACCTGATTACAATAATAGAAAAATACACATTTAAATGTAATCCCATCTTTTTGCATTCAGGTTCTATATTTGGGGTTTTTTTCTTGTTTTGCTTGTTTTAAACTTACAGGTCCTTTCATCTCATCTTTTTGCGCTGCACTTTCTGAACATTTTCCAGCTGATTTTTTCTTAATGTCTTCTTTCCCCTTGGTACAAGATGGCTGAGCTAAACTCTCTGTTCCTTTTTGTAACGGGCATCCTGGTTTTAAGTCTTCGCTTGCAGATTTCCGAGATTCCTCTAAGCAGCAATTTTACATAGAAAACAATTAGAAAGAATAGAAATATATGAACTAAAAAGTAAATCAGTGTTTTTTCCAATATCCAGATGTCTCTTATGATGAAATGGAAAACTTGAAAAAAAATAAATCACATTTCTCCCCTTTTTATTAGTAAAACTTTCTTTCCAAAAACATTTGCACTATGAAAGCAATTAAATAACATCTTACATCATAAGTACCTTCACTGCAATGAATTATAAATTGTCAAATACTTAGAATTTAATTCCCTATTCAGTGTTCCAAGAGTCAGTTCATATTGAGACTGTACTTCCAATTTCTCTCTTGACAAGCCAAGCCAGTAATCAGCAGCTTACAAGGTGCACTTTAGCCACTCTTAAGTACATGTGTCCTGGTTCAGACTCAGCTTCTGAGAAAAGAATCAGAAAATACTGCATTTACGTAAACTAGAATGGGAGAGGGGGGAAGTGAAGCTCAGTAGGTGCAAAGCACTACACTGACACAGCTCAGTCACTGCCCTTCAGAACCCACCAGGTTTCTGATGCTGATGGGGCTCAAATGCTGCCTGTGCTGACAAAGAGCAGTAACCCCCAACCAATTCCAGCTGTGCCTTTCAGATCTCTGCAGGTACCACGGTCAGTTTTGCCTCGCATCCCCCTGAACTCCATGGCGTCTGAGAAGGCTCTGCCATCACTGGTATCAACGTCTCTCCAGTCACCTTTCAGAACTTTACTAAGACTTCTCTTGACTTGACCTACAACTACTCCTGTAAGGTAAGTTGCTGCTCCTACTATACTTTTATTAAAAATGAAGAGGCTTTGAATTGTTTTAAAATATGTCTGAAAATATCCATATAGATGCAAGAATACAGGCAGTAAAATACAAATTTTACCGTGTTCAGTCAGGCTATTCATAATATCTGAGTTGATACATGTAACTGAATGTAGCTGATGATAATTCCACAGTGCTGGACTATGGATTTTTGCTGTAATGCTGAGAAATAACTTGCATGAGTATTAAGGTACGAGTACTCTCCTCAGTCTCTACCACAGAGATGGCAAAGCTAGCTCCACTGAAGCCAGTACAGGGTGAACACCGCTCAGTTGTTTCGTTAAGTCAGAGCAAGTAACATACATCCGGCTCCTCAACATTGCTGCTTTCTTTAGTACAGAAAATTACAAGATGTACAATTGTGAAAAGGTAGAGGAGGGAGAAAAGCAGAGGAGAGGAAATGTTATTCAAAGTATGGAAAACAAACCGGGACAGAAATGTAAAACAAAAGGTCAACCTGAAGAATCTGCATTTCACTGAAATACGACTGCTGGAAGTCTTGATGCTCCAAAGAATGTCTTTGTGTGATGGATAAAAGTTCTTCAAGGTAGTGTGAGAGGTCAGAGTTAAAATAGCTAGAAAAAATCCTCACAGTATTGCAGTGAGGGTGGCAGGGGGAGGCACAACCCACATGCTGCATGCCAAACACCTACCCCATCGCCAACGCGATGATGAAGGAAAGCTACTTACCAGAAAGCAGCTCTTTGGAATGTGTTGTGTGTATGTAAATTTACACTGTTGCTGTCCATATCACAAACACTCAAGCTGGAGATGTTTGTGTCTTAGCAGTACCTGCAGATGTGATCATAGGACCCTCAGTGTCACTTAACCCATGAACCTGAAAAGATACTGGAAGAGAAGGGAAGGAGGGTGGACAGTGAATGTACAAATAGACAAAGCAGCTCAAAGAGTTACAGTTACTGGTACGTAACGCTTTTCCTTTGAGAACTTGTCTATATGTACATTCACACTGTGAGTGACTAAGCAACAGTCTTTTCCACGTAGACGATTACTTCAGAATCTTCTCAAAATACAAGAAGCACCCAGGACCACTCCAGCAGATGCTGTGTCCTCCTTATGCACGTGCTACACACAGCTCAGTGCAAACACGAGTGTAGCTTTTGAAGTAGCTGCCCTGCAGGTATCCAGAAAGAGAACTGTTGTCCAAGAAAGCTGGAAAGGTCACTTGCACTCCGAGGTGTTGAGCATGTTGCCCTTTACTGTGAAATTCTCCCTTCTGATCTCTCCATAGTGCAACAAGTTGGGCGGTCAAAGCAGAGGAGGAATGATTTTGCAAGCTCTGTTCTGTAAACTATTGGTAAGGAGCTCACCAAAGTGAAATTAAAAAAATTAAGACAGCTACCATTAAATCTGAATTCATGATACACTGGAAAACTTTAAGGAGCCCACAAACTGAAAGCTTAGGTCCCAAGCTGAAGGGGAAATAGGGAAAGATAATAAAACCGCTGTGTATCTGAAGGAAATGTATGCCAGACTGAAGGGAATGAACAATAAAGACAAAATAGTTCTTCCTTTCCCTGACTCCAAGAACTAGCTGGTGCAAGGGCCGTGTTGCCGAGGCACGTGATACTCCGTAGGTATGGGATCCCTGCCCGTGCTCAGCTCAGGAAAGGCTGATCTGTTCCTCTGTAATGCAGCCCTACGAGTGAGAACACGGAGCCAGGATCTGAGCTCAGGTCTGGTGGGCTGTGAGGGTCAGAGACCAACCGAGGTGAGAGAAGAGCTGCTCTTCTGCCACCCAAAATGGGCATAAACCATCAGTGAAAAGTTCTTGCTGTTTCCGTTCCGAGTTGTATCTGGCACCAAGAGAAAGCAAGTCAAGCAGAGGATGTGATCCCATTATCTGAGATGAATCTTTAGTTGGGAGCCCCTGTTTGGAGGCTGATCCTCAGTTTTGTATGAGAAAGGGGTCTGGAAGAAGAACATTCCCAGTAAAGATTCTTTTTGATTTTTGCCATCACTACCTAAAATCACTTTTCTAAAAGGTGATACCAGAGAATAAGCTGTGATAAACTTTCTCAGTAGACTCTTTGGACAGCTATGCTGCCACAAGACGCCAGTTCTACAAGGATGAAGATTTCCAAGGAGCTAAACTTTTTGTAATCCTGTCCCTTTCACATATAAAGAGCACGGGAATTCTCAGCACCAGCTGAGCAGGCACTTGGCCAGCACGGAAGAAGGGATGCACTCAGTGCAAAGAAATTTTGACTCCTGAGCTCCAAGATCCCTCAAGCACAGGATTAAGTCCCGCAGACAGAATGTTGGCAAGGAATGTGCCTTCCTCCTAGAACAGGGAAACAGCCGCTGCAGGACAGATGTAGTTTAGTGGTGCTGTTGCAAGGTGGCACAACTATGCAAAAATAAGGGGAGTAAAAGCAAGTTGGGAGAAGAATGTGAATATACCTGCAGCTGCCTGCATACTTCTGAGGGTGAAAGGGAGAGAAGAAGAGTTCAAATAAATGTAACAAAACCTCAGCAGAAGGAGACAGGGATAAAAAAGGGGGAAAAATATTTAAAAGTGACAATTTATTCTTTTTAAGTTTTGTAATGTGAAAGACACTGGCTCAGTTTGAAAGAACAGAGGGTCCAACAACCACTTCATCTATTAATGGTCATAAAATGAAAAAGCAAGGAGCAAGTACGCCCCAAAGGTACTACCAAGGCTAAAAGTATCCAGCTGAAGTGTCTGCGATATGAAACCTTGCAGTGTGAATGCAAACAAAGACAAGTACTGGACACAGGGAAAATGGAACTAAGGACAGTGCACACTATTATTTCCCAGTATTGGAATTATATTCTTGTCAGTGACTGTAGAATATTAAGTTACAAATTTTTCAGAAACTCTTAAGAGAGCAAATCCCAATGAGATGCAACCTGTTTTTGAAGGTCATCTATGTGTACCTATATACGTAGACATGTGTGTGGATGTACATCTACACCTGTTTGTGTGTCCATGTATATACACATAAACATACACACATATATACACTTCTGATGACCTAAGAATTCTTCTGCTCTCCCTTGTGCTTTAGCTGCAGCACAGACATACCAAGAGCACCTCCATCACAACCAGTGATTCCTTTTTTTTCTCCTCCCTGTAAAAGCAGTGGCTTGGTCATGCTCCCCATTAAATAACCATCTACAAAACAATTCAGAATATTTTCAGTACATAACTTCGGTAAACTTCAAGACTACTTAAAAGAGCTCTCCTTGATATTGTAAGTTGTGTCACAAGCCTACTCAAAAACATGTAAAACTGAAAAGATTAAAGGGAGTAACAAAAAATCTGAACCAAAGGCAAAAAGTTTCAGTTTGGTGGTCTGACAATTCAGCTTGAATGAATCTTAACAGTGTAAGGCTGGTTCCTTCAGAAACATTTGACTGCTATCAAGAAATGTTGTACAATTATAAATTAAATCTATAATGGCCACACACAGGGAGAGAAATCAGAACTTTTTAAGTCAATGATTCATAGTGACTTATAGGGAACATACTGTTCTTAACAGTAATGGTGGCCTATGCACAGTAAATTGAAAGATGAAAACTGCTGTTTTTCTCCTGTATTTCTCCTCTAATTAGAGATGACTTACAACATCACTGAATAACAAAACAACTCAGGTTGGAAGGCATTTCTGCAGGCCACCTAGTGCAAATACCCTGCTCAAAGCAGGGCTGATTTCAAAGCCAGGATGGTTTACTCACAGCCAAGTTCTTAAAATCTTGATATGAATGGATTCTTCAGTGATTTGAAAACAGCATCACATTGCACACTCAGCATTGCACCTTCCCATAAAATTACCTAATGCAACTTTTGGATTTTCTTCGGAATCATCAGCTCCCTCAGTGGACTCCTTAACTTTTACAGCTTCTCTTGAATCTCTTGGAATACTGTAGGTAACATCTGGTGAATTAAGTTTATCACGTGCCTTGAATTAAAAAACAAACAAACAAAACCAAACATTACATTTGCTGGCACTGTACTTCAGGCATTAAACTGGCAACACAAAGAAAGCTCCCAAAAGAACTTACAGTTAACATTGTGTTGTTTACATTACATACTGCATTGTCAAAGTGAACAAAAGCAAACTAATTTTTTTTTTTTTAGTAATAGGAAGGTTCTTACTGGTTTATAGTCATAAATCAGCATTTTTTATTTTAGTTCAAAACATGTTCCCTAATCAACGATCAGAATTTAGATTATTGGGTAAATTCGTATTTTGTTTCTCAGCTACAAATAGATAACGTGGGAGTTTTTTTGCCATACTCTCCCAGTGACTTTCAAGCAGACCTTTGTCCACCAGAAAAATACAATAAGAGAACCAGGAACATATACTGAAGTTATCACATAAACGGAGAAATAATCAGCTGAATGAAAACAGCAGGTCTGGATAATCTCTGACACTATTGTTTCAATTCTGTACTTGTCTGGGATGTCTTGACAATGCAACCCACCTCTCAAAATAGTAAAGCCAGCTGGGATTTGCCCAGAAAATGTCTATGCTGTTCATCAACCATCTACTTCATGTCAGAACCCCCCAGCATTCATCAAAGTATTAAATTATTTTGTATTAAAACATTCTCTAACAAAAACATATTATTGAACAATAACTGTCACCTTTTCTGTCTAGGTGAATTTGACTGGGGCCTCTGTAATCTGGCTTGTTTATCAAGAATATTGATATTCTTGGCCTGTCTATAAAAATATGGATAAGCCTGCATCTAAATGCAACTTGAATTGTTAAAATGACCCAAAGCTTGAGTTTCCAGGTTGTTTTATAAGAAATCCAGTAGAACAGGAGACTCACTTCCTGGAATCTATCATTGTAATATAGGAAAGAAGAGTTTTGTCACCACTTTTCTACAGTGTCAGACTCTGGGAGAGAGGTTTAATTTGGGAGAATATCCCAACTGTTGAGGAGTTGCATTCAGTAGCATAGCTATCACCTGCACCTGTCATGGGTTTGAACTGGGGAGTAGGATTGGAAGTGTCAACCTCTGTAGTAGCTACATTTGGTCTCCAGGCGGTTTCCTTTGTCAATTCAGGCTGAAGAAACAGTGCTTTCTCTTTTCAAATTCAGTGTGCTCAATTTCCTAATGACAGAAAAGAATAGAAGAGCAATTCTGTTCCCTTTTGAAACAGCCTACAATTCCAGCTATTTGATATATATTCCCACTGATGGGGAGGTTTATTGCCACAATTCAACTGTAGCTGATTTCAATTTCAATTTGTTTCTCAGTTGCTGTTTAGCCAGTTTACATTCAGTTACCTTTCTGCAGGGTTTACTCTGATGGAGACCAAGTGATGGTCTGACTTGGAGAGGATTTCTGGTTCCTGGTGATTAGGTTCTGGCAGTATTGTACAGACTTAATGAATAACTATACTGTCTATGAAGTGATCCTTAAAATTCCTGAAGGATTATGAATGCTGTAATCTTTAAGAAGCTTATACTTTGAAGTCTCTTTGATCTTGACAATATTAGTAATTCAGATGTTCTCTAGATCTGAAAGGTTGACATCCGTTACCAGGATTTTAGAATTCAGATTCTAAAGAAGGGAATATGCTTATTGCGTGAGCTCCACCAAATGCCTGATGGTTAATGGTATCATGTCTAGCACTAGTGTCAATGACACCATGAAGAAAAATGTAAACAACAGAACAGACCTATCAAAAAAGTGTCAGTAAGACCTTCCTGACAGACCTTTTGTTCACTTAGGATGGTACACATTGCCTTAAAGTGAAACCATCAACACCCAGGACAGCAATATCAGAGTATTTCTTAATCATCAACATAACTCATCTGGAAAGGTAAAATACTCACTTCTTCGGTCCTCTTTCTTTCTTGCTCTATTTCATACTCTTCCTTAGATTTTCTGTAACACAAGATATGAGGAAGTACTCAAAAATTCTTTAGTATTAGTGACTTTTAGGTAAATTTGGCACTGCTTAAATATTTGAGGACTATCAAAACAATTACAAGATAATATGAATTTCTTAGTATGCAAAATACTTCCATGACTTAAATGAAAATGCACTCTTAATAGAAATAAATAATTATGATAAACACACTGAACCCACTGTCCTCAGTCTGTCTTGCCCTGTGCAAAAATAATTGTGTAAGAATTTCCAGGGCTTACCTATCCCTTGTTTCATTTGCTCATTTAAAGACAGGAAGGGAAGTATTTCCAGAATACAGAGGGGAAAATAGCATAATTTAATATAATGTGAATGGATTAATCTGCAATTACTTGTTTAAGATTATGCTTATATATATGTGAACTGGGAATGGAGCAGATTCTATAGAAGTCGTTATCAGTCCTCACACATCTTCCTAGATCACAGCAACAGTCATTGAACACAACTAAGAAGGAAACTGTAGAAAGGAATAAAGCCCACTGCAAAAGCAGAGTTTGCCTTTTTAAGACTTCGATGTTAGGGTGTTCCCTGAATGGATAGGAGCTAGTGTGCTCCTGTTGCCCAGACACATCTAACCCAGGCCTAACATTAGGTCTATCTGGAGATTCAGGGGAGAATGGAAATGATGGGGCTCTTAAAGTCGCACATCATTCCATGCATCACCAAGACAGTCCCTCATAGTGGAGCCATTATCTCTCAGTCTTTAAATATTGCTGATCACACCCACTGTCTAGAACCATTCATTTTCTCTCAGGTAGGATTTTTGACAAGAACATTCACATCATCTATAAGATAAAGGCTGGAAGAGCTAGGTCCTACATACCTTTATTTTTTTTATTTTAAAATAATGTAAAAAGTAAGACTGATTCATTTTTTACCTTAGAACCTCCCTCAGTATTTTCATTTCTTCTTGTTCAATTTCACTGAATACATCAGAACCCTCTGTCAAACAGTCGGGCAACACACCTGTAAAAAAAAACATTACAAAATTGATTTTGTCCTCCATTTGGTATCATTCTTCAGGCAGAGAAGAGAAAGAAAAGAAGAAAGAAGAAAGAAGAAAGAAGGAAGAAAGAAAGAAAGAAAGAAAGAAAGAAAGAAAGAAAGAAAGAAAGAAAGAAAGAAAGAAAGAAAGAAAGAAAGAAAGAAAGAAAAAGAAAAACCAAACCCAAAACACATCTAACTCTTCCTCTCTGTAACTGCTTCCAAAAAGATTCCAGATCCTGGGCATCAAGTTGCCAGTAGCAAAAAGGCAAAGGTTTCTGAACTGTGAAAGTTTTGACATCTACAGGTAAAGCATAAGCTCTACTCTGCATTAAACATTATATGGTATTTCCTAGAGACTGCAATTTAGCCACAGCTAACTGAACCATTTTCCAATGTAGCTGTTGAATGAAAATTGAAATTTAAAGATTATTCTCTGAAAAAATATGCATGCAGTAAAATGACAAAACAAAATGGTAACACTAAAGACATGGAAGAAAGGAGCGGAGAGATGCAAATCCTTTCAGAAACATCAACAGAGCAGCAAAGTTGGGTGTAAATTATTTTCTCTTCTTTAAAAGCATGCATGTATTAGCACAATGAAGGCCATAACTTCTGCTTTCTATATGAATTTTTCATATGCAACTCTAGAGTGTGAATTGCAAAGTAAGCAAGGCAGAGAGTACAACATCATTGCTATGCAAGTAGCATAATTCAAATATTGTCATTCTGGATGAACTGATATAATTGCTTTAACACTCAATATTACCACCAAAATTCTTTAACAAAATACTAAGTCAAGTTTCATAGAAAAATTTAGACATAAAAACAGAACTAAAATATCTGAAAGTTTAAAAAGTAATATAAACAGCTGTCACTGAGGATATAAGCCAAGGGCTAAGTATTGAAATCCTAGTCCCAGTAAAATAAAATTAATGTTTTCCATTAACTTGAACTGGAACTGAACCAGAATTCTATACTCATTTATGAATGGATTACATAGTCATCAAAAGAATGCTAAAAAGATTAAATGAAACTCCACATCTACCACTTCTTACCATTTGTTTCTTTAATGATTCTAATCGCTTGCAATTGCATTTCAATATTTTTCTGTACCATCATTTTTTTAAATAGTCTAAAATCTTCTGCTGCCAACACTGTTTGCAAAATGGCCTGCAGGAGGGAAGATATGCACAAAATTAAAAACCCTACAGAAATCATAACCATCTCAGTCTGCTTGAGATTATATTCTATTTAAAGATTTAAATTCTATGGAGCATGTTTTTAATAATTATATTTAATTCTCCTATCTGTCTATTTTTCCAGTTGAGCTAATAGTCAAGAAAATAATTAGATCGTTTATGTCTTTAGATCAATGTGCCTACGATAATGTTATCACAAAACTTGGAGGGTTTCCCAGTGTTAAGTTTACAAATGCAATTCATTTAACTTCCTGAACAAATTCCTAAGTTTGAGTGAGGAATGTGCACTCTGAAGAAGCCTGGTACACATCTAGAAGGAGGTATGTCAACAACAAAGCCCAAATTAAACTGGCAGCAGACGCTCCCACTCCTCTGCCCAACATACCTGACACAGTTCTCAAAGACCTTTGAGCAGGTGAAGGGCTGCCTAACCATGCCTTGTCTCCTCAAGGCCAGTGACTGTCTTACAGATTTTACTGTTTTTTTTATAAAATCAGAGGAAAACATATTTTATTTTATGGAGTATGTCTATTGTTTTAATCTTTATGTTTGTCTGCTACTGTAAACGGACTGAGAACTAACATAAAGCTGGCAAATACACAAACAAAGGTGGCAGAAACATCCTAAGCTTAGAGGTTTGTTATAGAAAATACAAAGCATAGAAGATGAATCTCAGAAAGGTCTGACACCACACAAATATCTGTCTTTATTTTCAAGATGCATATGTTTCTGGTCCAAGTTCATAATATAAAAAAAAACACATTATGTTTTAGAAAATTGCAGTTTTAACAAGAAAACTTTTCAAAGTTTCATCTCCACCCTGCTACATTAGTGAAAATATAAAGCTAAAAGTTAAATTTATACATTCCTTAACAAAGGAAAATACCTGTGAAGTGTGTGTCTTTGCAAGAGGAGATGAAAAAGCTTCTTGAAATTTCTCTTCATTAATTCCAACTTCTTTAAGATAGTCTTCTAATAATTTTTCAACCTATAAGAAAGTATAAGCCTTACTTTCTAAGAGGTTTTTCTCCAAGAATCATATTAATTTTTTTCATAATTGTCTGTTATTTTCTGATGACACTGTATTTTTTTAAACTCAAAGGAAAATCATTGCAATAGTATAACTGATTTCACCAATATGTCAGGCTGTATTTCCTTTAATGAACTGTTCAAAATAAGCATTTTTATTGCTCAATTTGATTACTACTTAATTTAGCTTCCCCAATTTCCAAGAACCTTACTTCCCTACCTATCCTCCAGACTCCAAGCTAGTGTCCCTCATCACTTTTTGCCCTGTAAGTAAAAGGCTTCAGTCTGTGTGCCTGAAACCCTTCAGGTTCAGAGCAAAAAAGGATGTTGGTCTGTATTTATTCAACTGATGCTTTTTAAACATCAAGTATTACCAAGCCTTGTTACAAAAAAAAATATTTTTGACATCTGCATGCATTGGTTTATAGGTATTTTAAGCATGCCCCAAAAATCTGCAGTAGTTTTTTCTGATATCTGAAAGTTAATTCAAAATATTTACTAGACTCATTAGTGAACAAAATACAAGTTAGACATGTTCTCAGACACTGCAGTGTTTGTCATTTTAACTTCACAGAAAACAAGAACATTATCAAGCTTAAAAGTAGAGTATTTTAGCTAGCAGATATATTAATTTTAATGAAAAAAATGTTACAGCGTAAGAGACTCTGTGAAGTTTCTTTTCTACCTATCTGGTGTTTAAGCATAAAAATGCACATGACAACTATGACTCAAAGGATTTCTTAAATAACACGTAACAGGCAATATTAGAAAATTGTAAATAACAAAGATAACAAAATTAGAAGTTCATCTAAATACATTTTAACATTTGAAAATATATTTCTTAGAGATCTTCCACAAATAGTGAATAATGCTCACCAGAGCTTGGTACTCCTGATATATTTCTGTGTAAGACAATTTGCTTTCTTCTTCATCATCAAAAACTGGGGAGGGAAAAAACAAAACCAAACAAACACACACACACACATTTTGGAGTTAGTGTACACACCACAAATTAACTCATGCCTTTTATGCCTTAAAGAGAAAGATTAACCTTTACCAGGTAATGTATTTAATCATATGAAAATATAGGCCATGACTGATAATAATAATAATGTATTTTTCCACATATTCAGGCTAAGCATGTACTTTTGGTAATTTAATGTAATTAAACTTCCTCATTTAATACCAGGAAAGTGTATTTTCATAATAGAAGCAGATTTCTAAGCAAGTCAAAGACTCGGCAGATACGTACACTAAAATGTAAGATTTAATATAACAACTACCATATGAACTTGTGTAAGGTTGCTCTAAGATGGCAGATGACATGCACAAAGCAGGAAATAACTCTCTCTATATGTACGTATTTACCTGGAGGATGTATTAATGACTTAAACCTGATTTTTTTAAATGCTATTAATTTAGCAAGAAGCCAAGGTGACGCAGGAAAATGAGACCCTGCCTGCATAAAAACTCCAAAGAGGGAATCTGCTGCAGGTAAGTTATTTTTTAATTATATCTATCCTGATTTAGACAAAACAGGTATCTGTGTAGTATAGGCCATATTAATCATATTCATATAAATTCGTATTAAGAACTCGTGACTGGAAATATCAAGTTAATGATCTCTACACTGAAAGAAGCAGAAAATAAGAGAAACTGAAAACTAAGGTTTGAGGTTTTTTCATTTACATTTTTATCATGTCAACAATGAAAAGAGGTAATGTAAAACCCAGCAATTAAAGCAGAGGCTTAGAAATAAGAATGCCTCAATCCCCTTCAAGATTAGCCACTATATGTTGGACAGGTCACTTCCCACGTGCATGCTTTGAAGTCATTTGAAGAATGGGAATTCTGCTTAAATTGGTGAATGAATGGGATTTATTCTTCATACATATATGACATCTCTGATGGAAGATGGTACAGATGCACATCAAATTAGTATAACTTTCACACAAATTTAGAGTGACTTTTAGAAAGCATCATTTCCCAGCTGTGACAGCCCTGAGGCAATGTCACCCTAAACTCTGATAAGGTGTGATGCAAGAGGGCTGCTCCTAAAGCAGAAAGTACTTGCAGCACTTTCTAACAACTTACAGCAATGCAATGATACAAATCTAATCACAGTTCAGGCCCTCTAAATAAGCAAAGGAAAGCTGCTTTTTAAATGACATGATCTGGAAAACCAACACTTTCTTTTGTGTGATTTTTCCACAAGGGAAATCTTTTTAATGAAGGGATTAAAAAAAAAAAAATCTAAGCTTTAAAAATATCTAGAAATAAATTCAAATGGTAGAAAAAGTACTATAAATCTTACTGGAAAAAAATTCAGCTCCTATGGCAACCCCCATATTACCAAACCCAAGAGGGTGAAGACACTTAACTGCCTCTATTGTCTTCTGCATCTCCTCCCCTCCTGGGGGTCTCCCATACAGCTCTTGCAAACCCAAACCGTTGTCTTAGCTTCTCTGTTCCCTTCTCCCTCCTACAGTTCCTTCCCGCCCTGGGCACCCGAAGGAGGGGTGACAGGGGAATGTCACTCCTCAGTCAGTGTCCATGCCAACAGCTAGCCTCACACTGCCCAGGGGATGCTTCCAAGTCCTTGTCCTCCTTCCACAGCTGCAGGACAACATGTAAAGCCGAGTGGAAAGCCTGCACAAACTGCTCTCTGTTTTCAGGCTCTGAACAAAAAGAGGATAAAGGTAAGTGCCAAGGAAAGCAAGCTGCAGTCAGCATCTCCTCTGAGTTAAGTGGTATTAAGGAGTACTTTGAATGGAGACCTTGGATTTTCTTGAGTCAGGGCTCCTAAATCATGTAGTCATTATTTTCCTTAAGATTTTGGGACACAGTCTTTCATCACCCAACAGGAACAAAAATCTGAAGAACCACAGTATCAAGATAAGCCATGGGACGCAGATATTCTGGGAGACAAACTCATCATTTTTGTGTTAAAACTGAAAATCTTTGCTAGGACCCCTCAGATGGGATGAAAGTTAAGTCAAGTTTGAGTTCTCCCTGCTAGACTGAGCCACTGACTCATTTGACCTCGCAGACAAGGGCTGGTAAGCAAACCTGAGGGAACTCTTCTCTTTCTCCCCCAGTCCTCACTGACTGGTGAGGCAGCTCTGTGCTGGGAGGGAAGGGAGTCACAGGCAACAGTATCAGCTTATTCCTTTAGTACCTTGTCTTTATCTTCTGGTGCTCAGAACCCTTATCAAGGTTATCTACGTCCAAATGATGTTTCAATTAATACCTTGGAACATCTGAATAAAAGGGAAAAGCCCTCTCGCCTTAAATACAACATACCCACGGATTTAACTCCAGTTTCACAGCCACATAGAAGGAAATTAATCAAGCCATGGGAAATTAATCAAGTCTCCAGGAAAAGGGAGAGAGAGAAAGCAGTTATCAACAAGTAGAAAACCATTAGTATAATTTATAAGTTGAAGTGCAAGGACTTGGCTTAAGTAACTACAGTTCCAAAATAAATTCCTTACATACCAGTTACCAAAAGTAAAAACCTGTTTTTGAGGAATTACAAATAATTGTCAGTTAATCAAAATACTGCTAATTCGCTTGTTCAGCCCAAAGTCTAAATGTTTTGAGAACAAAAAGAATTCTGTCCTGACAAAGTATCTCAGTGAAAAAAGCCGCAATGGAATCAGCACAATACATTTATAGAAAGGAAAATCAAATAGCACAGATCTCTGCAACTAAACCTTCAAATTTGTTCCACTGTGCCTCTTAGCAACCCTTAGCATTGCAGTAACACTTCTTTAGCCTTTTCTTTTTTCTCAATAGCTTCTGGGAGTTGTCCAGCAGCACTGGACAACACAATGATACCTTAGAAGATCATCTACTGCAAGTGCTTTCTCTGCTTTATTCCTTCAATTTCTTATATAGAAACAAACTGTGGCAGGAAGGGACCATTATATAAGCCTGCCTCACACTACATGGAAATTTACAGAGGTTCCATAAATCTTCTTACTGCCAGTAAATTCCCCTCAACCTTCTAAAGAGAGATCATTGCTCCACAGAGGGATAATCGATTCCCCCAATTCCTAAACCTAGACACTTTGCATGATAATCAAAATGCTTGACTGACCTCAAATTTAGGTAAACTTTCCAAGAGAAAACTTCTAGCCTCGATTTCTCTATTGCTTTCTAGCTATAAAGAGTCTAGCAGCTTTACTTTTCTCATTTCCCAGAATACTAGGGAAAAGTGTACATACTCACAATGATCTTGCCTCATGCAAAGCCTGGGAAGGGTAGAAACAATTCAGGACAGCTGAGAAGCAACTTGTTTAGAAGCTGTGATCTGAATCAGAGATGTATCTTGTTTCACTGAATACGAAATAAAAAATCTTAATGGACCCTAACAAGACTGCACAACAAAAGACACGGCCAGCCCCACTGAGGCCAACCATTACAGAAACTGTTCTGGAGCCCAGAGCAGGACGGAGGGGAAGACGGGGTAAGTGCAAGCAGGTAAAATACTTTATTAGTAAAAACCATTCTACATTGAGCTTGCTGTCAGCAAGTCCCTAGAAATAAAATGTATTTGGATGCCTTAGTTTCATGACTTCAATATTTTAAAGTTAAAATTATTATTAATTAATCCTATTTCCTGTCAGGTGATACTAAAGGAACAGATTTTATTCATGGCAGCTATAGAAAGTTACTCTACTTAGGCTACAGCAACATGCTTTAACACTTCTCGTGTGTGAATGGGCCACAGGCTGGGTAGGATCACAGGCCATCACGTTCTCAAACACAAAAATAAAAAAATGATTTTTTTCCAATAATCACAAAAGAAAGTTTCCTTTTTTCTAAAGGGCTTAGACAATGTTTTTAGGCTTGCCCAAACTGTAATTATTTTGTTACCGTAAGGATCCAGGTGTTCTTTGGCAGCAGAAAATTGGTTCTGTAAGCAGCAGAACTAACTCAGACAAATCTCTGCTGCAGAAAGTCTATTTCCTCCTTTCCTCACTGCATACGTACACCTACCTACACAGTTCTCCTCAGGCACCTTAACACGGAGCGACAGGGCTATCCCATTCCCCCCTCACTGCCTATACTTCCAGTTTACCCAGGGCATTCCCCAAATTATTCCATGATTCCTTCAGCTCTTTCTTAAGGAAGAAAAGGAGGTTTAACTAGAGTTGCTTCCGAGCTGAACTCACGCACAGGACCGCCTGTAAAACATGACTGACAACTGTTGATTTTTTAGTGCTATCATTTTTTGAGAGGAACTACCTTAATGGTTTCTCATCTCTTAACTGCCAGTGTTCACAAAATCGCAGGAATTTAACTTTGGGCCTCCTACTCTTCTGTCCCGCTGGCCAGACGGCGATTTCAATGGTCCTGTCCAGTTTCCTAAGGATAAACCTCTTGCTATTGGAAAGCACTAAAGGCCTCCAGCCGCTTTCCAGCCGCATCAGGGTCGCTGGGCGCAGCAGCACGAAGAGTGTTTCTGCAGCAGAACGAAGGTGGCGTTTCGGTGTCACACCGTAAGCTCGTGTCACAGTCCCCTGTGCCAGCGAACGAACGCAAATCGCCACGGCCGGAAAAATGACCTCCTCGGGGGTGACCGGCCTCCCGACGGAGCGGCGTCGCTCCCTAAAAACGGTGGGAAAGCGCAGACTACGGCCGGGGAAAGCCTGACGGGCCTTCCGCGGGGATCAGCCTCGAACGGCGCCCGCGGGGACCCTCACGAACC